GACCAGTGATCCCCCCCAGCTGGCCTGGCGTCGGAGGAGCAGGTCAGTGCTGGGGGACCAGGGATATGGTGAGACATCCCGCGGTTTATGATTGCTGCTTAACATCTCTGTGCCTCAGTTTCTCCTCCATAAAGCACAGGCATGTGGGGAGGGGGGCTATCAGTCTTCTTGCAGGCCCTTTTAGGCTCGGTGTTGCCACTACGTGGGAGAAGGTCTGGAAGAAAAAGGATGGCGGGGTAGAGCAGAAACATGGGAGGCCTTGGCTGGGGCAGCTTGGAGGTGCAGCTGCGCAGGCGGCAAGCGGTTCGAGATGAGGGATGATGACAGGCGGAGTCCGGGACAGGGTGGGGTTTCCAGCTCCAGACTTCCAGGGGCTGATATTGATTAGGCTGCCGCGGACACCAGGCGTGGCGGCAGCTGGAAAGGGCCAGTCTCTTCCAGGTTGGATTTCTTTCCATTTTACAGGCCTCCCAGGTGGAGGTGTAGCAAAGAGCTCACCTCTTTTAGCCCCGGTCTGGGTAGGAGAGAGGCGACGGCCGGCATCCTTCGGTCACCTTGTGGGAGGGTCAGATAGGGAGCAGGAGCGTCATCTCCACACTCGCCCTTCAGCCGCTTGTGCCCGGAGTCAGGTGGGGGTGGGAGGAGAAATCGAGGTCCATGGTGGGCATCCCTCCCTCCTGCAGTTTCTGGCGGTGAGGAAGCGGGCTAGCCTTCCCCTTTGCAAGGTCTGGAGGATTGAAATTCAGAATTAAACCCTCAGTGGGCAGGAATTTTCTCATTGCCTCATGAGAGCCTTTTCCTGTTTCTTCCGGTGGCTGTCAGTGGTTTTAACCTCCCGGGGAAGGCAGACCTCCTCTAGAACCTTCCAGTGCTGAATCTCGTGCAGAACCTGGGGAGCCGCCACCTCCTCGGTCCAGTTTTTTCTAAGCAGCTCTGCGGATTCGTCCAACCAGGGAGACTATTCCAGCACCAGGGATGCGTAGGAGTGGCCACTGTACAGCATGCCTAAATTCCCAGTACAGATTGCCAGTATCCTCCGCGCCTGGGACAGTCCAGGGGCAGTGGGAGAGCAGATCCCATCAGCCTTTTAACGAGGCTGACTTTGAGTGCTCACCTCCCCAGCACTCACCAGAGGCCATCTCTAAATAGGCAGGCTCACCCGCCCGGCAGGGAGGTATCTCCTGCGGGGGGAGGAGGCAGGAAGGTGACAAGGTGCCTGAGAGGCTGAGGCGGCCAAGGAACCCATGACATGAGACGTGCCTGCACAGGCGGGGGGCACCGGTGGGACGTCTTGTTTGCAGGCTTTGTTATTAATAGTGCTGTCTCAAGGAATTCTACCCCAGATGGCAATAAATGTATGACAGCTAATCTAGGAGATTTTATTGGCACCATTGGGGCGGGTTCTTTGCCCTGTCCCCACCACCCCCTCCCCATGCCTCTCAAAACAAAGGCCAACGCTCTCAGACTGTTTCCAACAACAAAAGGACTAGGCCAGACTAAGAGAAGTGTACGCTTCAAGTGAAGACAGAGGCGTCTGTGGCAAAAGGGCGAGGTGGTTTCCTGGGTCCTACCTGGAGGGGTGGTGACCAGAAGGGCCCAGTAACCCCTGGTCGACCTGGTTGGCAGTGGCTGACTCTCCAGGGCCTGCCCCGCGCGCAGGACCCGGCACTCCGCAGGGCGCCCACATCCGAGGCGCCCCCGCTTCCAGGAGGAACTGTCTCGAGGAGCGGTTCGCAGGAGTCGTTCCAGCGTGTGCTGGAGACCTGCCGCGAGCCCTCGGAGGACCCTCTAAACATGATCCCGGCACTGCCGGAGAAGGGAGGCCCCTGCGGGAGAGCACGAGTCAGGAATGAGCCGGGTGCGCGCGCGCCGTCGCGCGCCACACTGCGGGGGGAGGAGAGGCCGCAGGCCTCGAGGAACAGTGGTGAGACCCACAACTTGTAATGCTCAGATCAGACTAATGGGGATTACAAAATGGGAAAAAAGGCTCCTACCGCGCCGCTGCTGCCCAGACCGCAGTGAATAAGGCCGTGGCAGCGAGGGCGTCCGATCCACACGTTCCCGCACCGACCTCTCAAGGTTGGAAGAAAAGAAGAGCCAATAAATGCTGGGGAGAAAAGAGGAGCCGGATCAGCGCAAGCTCTGGCTTGACTGGGAGGGAGGAAGGCCGGAGAGAGACGAGGCATGCCGAGACGAGAGCCATGTCATAAGAAAGCCCAGGCCCCTGGACCCCCTTCTCGCACGTTGCTGGCAATCAGATCCTTGTTAGCATCTTCCTGGCCTACAAGAAAGCAGAGTCAGGAGCTTCGCGGGCTGAGAGTGGGGCTGCAAGCACTTCCCCTACACTTTTTTTTTTTTTTTTTTCCTGGAGAAGGGGTGGGGGTTCCTGGTTGAAGCCTTCTAATTTTTTAAAATCGGAGGTCTGTCTTCGTAGTTTGCTTTTTTTTTTTTCTTACTGGTCAGCTACAACCCACTATTACAAAACAAGGAGAATCTTGAATCACACTGGACTCGTCTGCAGGTTTTATGGGGATGGTCTCAGTGGTTGGTGATTTTTTGTGTCTCCTCCTCTCGGCTCTCTTTCATTTCTGCAGTCCCTGATGCACAGCCAGACTTGACCATTCTATCCTGCTCAGTCTTGTGTTGACCTTTTCGGTTTCCTTTGGACTCTTTCATCTCCTTTCAAAATATTTTTTTTCTTCTCCGGTGCTTTGCTTTTTGGGAGAGAGTGATTCAACAGTGGCCAAGGTGGGACGCTCTCTCCCCTCATCGGTGTTATTTATTGTTAGTTGAGGTGTTTTTTTTTAATTCCTGTTTTTTGCTCAGTCGAGGGAGTTCGTTCCCCTGCCTGTTCTCCGCGGCGCGGAGATGGTGTTCAAATGGCTGGGCGCGGTTGGTGGTGTTCCCTTTCGGAGATGATCTATCTGGTGTGGCAAGCCGTACGGACTGTAGTGCCCGCCAACTTCGGGACCTGTCTGGGAGACGTCCTATCCCGGCGAGCGGAGGGGCATCGACGACCATCGCTCGAGAGTTCGGTCGACAGCGCCAGAAAGTACCGGGGCACGGCAGCTCGGGTGGAGGCGAAGGACGCACCACCTGCTGCACCAGCCGGACCTGCGCCAGAGGAGTCACCACAAACCCCGCTCTCTCGGCCTGCCGGAGGAGTGCTGAGCCTAGCAGTTCTAGTAGAATTTACGAACAGGAGGCTGGCTGCTTTCTGGCCAGGTCGGAGCTGATCCATCCTTGGGATCGGCGTGTTGGCCGTTCCCTGCCCCGCTTGGAAACACCATTTCATTCTCCCATCCCGAGAGAGGAAGGATGTTGTGTTCCCCTCGCCTTCCCCTCGATGCCCGCACACCTGGTGAGGTGCAGGGTGTGTGGGCACTCTGGGTAGGCTGGAGGCCCGCCTGCTAGCTGGCTTCGTGTTTTCTTGGCAACCGCTTCCTAGCCCACTGGGAGGCTGCTAGCTCGAGAGAGTGAGGATACTTGGTTGGTTTGAAAGGTGAGGGGGCAGGATACTCTTGGATGTCTATGGAGCCTGGCATTGCACTCCCCACGTCCCAGGCTTGGGAAATCTAGAAAGGGGACAGGGAATGGCAGCTGATAAAGCGCCTGTTCTCCCTTCCCTGCCTCATTCCCCACCGGTCAGCCCCAGAGATCCCTCCCCAGTAAATGGGAGGTGGCACTGGGGAGGGCCCTCCCCTCCCCAGGGCTGTCTTTAGCTTTTGTGTCAGCCATCTCTTCTCTGTTTCCCAGACCTGGTGCCTGAGTGGGGGAGGTGGCCGGCTGTCACCCCAACTCTGACCCAAGCTAGGCTGACAGCTCACCCCAGTGACTAGCTAGGAAAGCAAAGGAGAGAGATGGAGGCTGAGGCAGACATGTCTCAAACCTTTGCACCTGGGAGGAAGAGCAAAATCAGGGGATGTAGTTTGGCTTCAAGCTGTTGTTGAGGGAGGCGGGGGGGGGGGGGGGGGGGGGGGGGGGGGGGGGAAGGGCCGGCAAAAACCAGCTGATCATTTTTGGAGCCGCCCCTGCTCTCAACAGTTGAAGTTTCAAACTAATTCCCTGATTTTGCTCTTCCTCCTCACAGGGCCGGCTTGAGACAGTCTGGCCTGCCAGCCTCCAATCTCTCTCTCTCCTTTGCTCTAGTCACTGGGTGAGTCAGCCTAGCTTGGGTCAGAGTTGGGTGACAGCCGGCTCACCCTCCCCACTCTCGGGCACCAGGTCTGGGAAAACCAGAGGAAGAGATGGTGTAACCACCAAAAAGCTAAAGACAGCCCTGGGGAGGGGGAGGGCCCTCCCCACAGTGCCACCTCCCCATTTACTGGGGAGGGATCCCCTCTGGGGCTGCATCTGCGGGGGGAGGGGGCACGGTTGAAGGTGAGAACAAGGGCGCTTTATCAGCTGCCATTACCCTTGTCCCCCTCTTTCTAGATTTCCAAATACCTGGGCGTGGGAGTGCATGTCAGGCCTGGCTAGACATCCAAGACCGCTCCCCACCCCCCTTTCAAACCCAAACCAAGTATCCCCTCTCTTCGTGCCTCCAGAGCTGCAGCCGCCCAGGTTGGGGCTGGGAAGCGGGTTGCCAAGGAAAATACGAAGCCAGCTAGCAGGCGGCTCCCAGCTCTACCCAGGAGCGCACACACCCTGCACTCACCAGGGTGGCGGCATCGAGGGGAAGGCGAGGGGGGAAAACACAACACCTTCCTTCGGGAGGGAGGAATGTGGGAAATGGGTGGGTCTCCTAAGTTTCGGGGTGGCGGCGAACGGCCAACCGGCCGCCGATCCCAAAGGAGCGGACCAGCTCCGGACCTGCCAGAAAAGACAGTCTGGTGCCCGGGAAAATTTACAAGGTGAAACTGGCTAGCTCAGCACTCGCGGGTGGCGCCGAGAAGTAGGGTGGCCGGCGACTCCTCTGGGCGCGGGTTCCGGCTGCGGCAGCAGGTGGGCGTCCCCCGCACCTTCGGCCTCCACCCCCTGGAGTCGCCGTGCCCCGGTACCTTTCTGGCGCCGCGTTCTGCGAACTCGCGAGCGAGCTGGCGTCCGATGCCTCTCCCGCCGCCGGTGATGAGGACGTTCTCCCGCGACAGGTCCCGAAGCTTGGCGGGCAGCACCAGTCCGACGGCTGCTTTGGCCACCAGATAGATCATCTGCAGAGGGAACACCACCAACGCGCCCAGCCATTTCCACACCATCCTCCGCGCCGCGGAGACAGGCAGGGGGGGCGAAACTCCCCGGACCGAGCAAAACAGGAATTAAAAAAAGAAAACACCCCAAACAATAATAAATAAACCGAATGAAAGGGGGAGAGAGGCGTCCCACCTGGCCACTGTTGAAATCACCTCTTCCCAAAAGCAAAGCACCGGGTGAGAAAAAAAAAGAAAAAAAAAAAAAAAAAAGAATGATATTGTTGAGAGAGGAGATGCAAGAAAAAAAGATGTCCCGATGAAGGAAACCTGTCCGAGAATAGGTCAGACTACAAGATACTGAGGCAGTCGATAGGGAATGGTTTCCACAGCTCTCTGGGTCCCTGCTGTTTGCCTAGGTCAGGGAAACTGGCACGTCAAAATGATCAAGATGAGCCTGAGGGAGGCAGCACAGCAAGGGGAAAAGTGCCAACCAACCACTCCATCCACCAACCCGTCACAGTCCATGTATTCACAAAGACTCCAAAAAAAAAAAAAAAAAAAGACCGTTTAAGTTAAAGGCCCCCACCCCTTCTCCAGGAAAAAAAAAAAAAAAAAGTAGTAGGGGAAAGTGTTGTAGCCCCACTCTCAGCCCGCGAAAGTCTCCCGACTCATTGCTATTCTTGGGCTCAGGAAATTGCTTAAACGCGATCTGATTGCCAGCAACGTGCAGGAGAAGTGGGGGGTCCCGGTGTCAGTTTCTTTACGTGCATGGCTCGCCCTGGCGCGCGCTCGCTCTCTCCGGCTCTCTCCCTCCCTCTCCCAGCAGAGGCCGGGAGTTGCCGCTCGATCCGGCTCCCTTTCTCTCCCCTGTTAGCATTTATTGCCTTCTTTTTGTCCTTTCCAACTTGGAGAGGGCCCGGGTGCGGAGCGCGTGTGGATCGGACGCCCTCGTCAGCGCCGCCTTATTCATTCGCTCCCGGGGCAGCAGCGGCGCGGAGCGAGAGGGCTGCCCTTTTTTCCCCCCCATTTTTTAATACCCCATTAAGTCTGATTGACAGTTAAAGTTGTGCGGAGGCTCCACTACCGTTCCTCTGAGTGGCTGCCGCGGCCTCCCCTCCCCCCGCGCAGTGCGGGGCGCGCGCGCGGGCGCGCACCCGGGCTCGCTCCGACTCGCGCTCTCCCGGGCAGGCTCCCCTCTCTGCAAGCCGGGACTTGCCGGCGGTGTCCCTGAGGGCTCGCGGCAGTAACTCGAACACGCTGGAACCGACTCCTGCGAACCGGCTCCCTCCTCGAGACATTCCTCCCGGTCGGGGACGCGGGCTCCCCGAGCTGGGGCGCCCGCGGGCCAGGTGCCGGGTCCTGCGCGCGGGGCAGGCCCGGGGGAGCTCGCGCACGCTTTGATCCAACCAGGTCGACCAGGGGTTATTTCGGGCTCTTTGGTCACCCCCTGCCTCCAGGTAGGACCAGGAAACCACTCCCGCCCTTTGCCCAGACGCCTTCTGTCTTCACTTAGCGTACACTTTCTTAGTCGGCCCGAGTCCTTTTTGTTGCTGGGGGGAAACAGCTGAGGAGCAGGGTTTTGTTTTGAGAGGCGTAGGGAGGGGGGTGGGGGGGGAGGTGAGCAGGGTAAAGGAACCTCTGCCCCCAAGGTGCCAATAAAATCCCCGTAAGATTAGCTGGGAGCATATTTATTGCTCATCTGGGGTAGAATTACCTTGAGTGACAGCAATTTCTTTAATAACAAAAGCCTGCAAACAAGACGTCCTACACCGGTGCCCCCTGCGCTGTGCAGGCAGCGTCTTCTGTCTATGGGTCTCCTTGGGCTGCCCTAGCCTGGCACCCACCTTGTCACCTCCTGCCCTCCCCCCCCGCAGGGAGAATACCTCCTCTGCCGGCGGGTGGGAGCCTGCTATTTAGAGATGTCTGCTGCGGGAAGTCTGGGAGGTGAGTCACGAAAAGTCAGCCCCAGTTAAAAGTGCTGATGGGACTTGCCTCCCACTGCCCCTGACCGTCCCAGGCCAGCAGGGGAGGGGATGAGCCGGGCAACTACCCTGTAATCTGGGACAGTGGTTCCCCAGCGCCAGGCTTGTTCAGGCGAGGAGGCTGGGCCTCACCCCCAGACGTTCTGATTCAGCAGGGCTGTGTGCACTGGAATCCCTATGTTCCACCTGGTAATTCTGCTGCGAATCCGGTGAGAGAACTGCTTTCAGAAAAACTGACTCGGGGAGGTGGCGGCTGGGGATTCCACAAAGACCCTCTAGTCCTGGGGAGAGGTTCTGCAGGTGAGGGTCCTCCTTCCCGGGGAGTTGGGAAACTCATCTGGACAGCCACTGGAAGAACAGGAAAGGCTTGGATGAGTGGGGTTGGAGGAGAAATTCTTCTACACTGAGGGTTTATATTCTGACATTTAATCCTCCCATTGACCTTGCAACGGGGGTATTAGTAGCTCCGTTTTCCTGGTTACCCGGCCAGAAACTGCAGGAGGGAGGGATTCCAACATGGACCTGATTTCTCCTCCCACCCCACCCGACTCGGGCACAAGCGGGCGACAGAGGTGGAGGATGACGTTCCCTCCTGTCTCCATTCGACCCTCCACAAGTGTGACTGAAGGAGCGGGCCGTCGCCCTCATTCCCACTCCCAGACTGGGGCTAAAGATAGGACTCTGTCGAAGTGCCTGACACCTCCCACCTTGGAGGTCTGTAAAAATGGAAAAGAAATCCCAACCTGAGAAGAGACCGGCCCTTTCCAGCCGCCGCCACGCCTGGTGTCCGCGGGCCTGTTAATCAATCAGCCCCTGGGAAAGTCTGGAGCTGGAACCCCACCCCGCTCCCCGGACTCCGCCTGTTATCATCCCTTATCCTCGGAACCGCCTAGTGGCCTGCCTGCGACACTGCACCTCCAAGCTGCCCCAGCCAAGGCCTCCCATGTTTCTGCTCACTCCCCAGCTATCCTTTTTCTTCCAGACCTTTCTCCTACGTAGTGGCAACACCCCGAGCCTAAAAGGGCCTGCGAAGATCATAGCCCCACCTCCCCACATGCCTGCTGCTTTATGGAGGAGGAAACTGAGGCACAGAGATGTTAAGCAATTCATAAATACCGTGGCATGTTCACCTATATCCCCTGGTCCCCCACATGTGACCTGCCCCCTTCCGACGCCAGGCCAGCTGGGGGACCACTGGGTTCTGCCTACATTTCCCCTGGGTGTGTCCTTGGGATGGAAGGCAGGCAGTGGGCAGACAGGAGGTTGAGGACTCACATTGACCTTCCGGGTATCAGGTCCCTCAACACATACTCTCATTTAAGAAAGGAGCCGGTCCGCAGAGGTGGGTGTCCGCACACCCATTTGACGCAGGAGGAAACAGGCACAGCAAATCCAAGTGACTTAGGAAGGCCACATGGGATGGTGCCCTTTTCTTTCCCAGCAGTCAGCTTTGGGATGAAATCAGAATGAAAAGGAACAAGTCAGACGATCCTAAAAGGTGCTGGGGGTTGGCTTATGGCCGGGAAGCAGACAGCTTTTTTCTGCTTGTTTCACCTTCAGGATGTGGATTTTGTGGGCCTGGCATCCCCGTGGGCCTCAGGTTTCTTCTGTCATCAGCTCCCCCATAGAGGTGTTGTCACCTCCTCTGTAGAGCATCCCCCCCGGGTCCTGAGAAGGATGAGGTTGAAGGGGCACTGGGCTGGGGGGTGTCCAGTCCAGCAGGTGGGCCCAGAGGGTCCCTGTGGCTTGGCTTTGGTGAGAAATGCATGGGCAGGACCCCTTCCTGTCGCCCCCATCCCTTGTCCTTTGCTCTTGGTACCCCTCCTCCCTTAGTTTCCTTGGGGGCAGGGGGTGAGGAATTTAACTTCAGGGCAAAGTTTGAAATTTCACATCCCAGCCCAGGGAGAGGGCCCCACAGTGCCTCCCCTCCACCACCCACCAAAAAAAAAAAAAAAGAAAAACGTGAAAGGAGCCTTTGTGGATTGGATGGAGTGGGGGGTGAGCTGTAGCCTGGAGAACTAACTTTTTCCATGACTCAGCTCTCCTGGCACAGGGCAGGCACAGGAGGTACAGAGACCCAGCAGGGCAGTTTGGGACCCGCCTCCTAGTCCAGAGCCAGTCCGTGTCAGGGTTAGAGGTGGGCCCCCAGGAGAGCCTCCCCTGAGATCAGCAGGGGAACTTTCTGGCCCTGGAAAGGCCACGAGGCTGTAACCATCTCCCCCCGCCTCACTGCCCACTGAGTCCCCTATTTTTTACTTATTGGCATCCCCAGTGCCAAGCACATGAATGTTCATGGCACTTTCCTTAGCACCACCTCAACTGAGAAACTGGAAAAATAAACGGGCATCAAGCCTTGCCTTTTATTTACGAGACTCAGAGAAGTTAAGAAAGTCACCCAAGATCCCACAGCTAGGAGATGGAGATGGGACTTGAACCCTGGTCACATGCTCTAAGTTCTGTCTACTTTATCCAGGGATGTCTCTCAGAACGTGTAGGACTCCCTGGGGTGCTGGTCAAAATACAGATTCCTGGGCTTCCAGCCTAGACTAGTAGGGTCAGGGCCCACGAGTGTGCATGCAGGCCAGGCAGGAGATTGTTGGGCACCCAATGGTTGAGAACCTTCCAGGGCTGTCGCTCCGTGGCCCCTTTGGTACTTACAGCCCCTGCATGAAGGTCTCCCCACCTCTTCCACCGCCGTGCAAGCCCTTCCCTCCTCGGCACTTAGGCTGTATCATGGTGTTAAGCCCTCCCTCATGGGCTGTTCTGGGTTGATCATTCTTGTCAGCTCGAGATACCTAATGGGGGGAGAAAACGGAAGCCAGAGGGGCGGAAGTGCTTTCACTCACCTATTCAGTCCATCCACCAGCCAGCCAACCGTCACGGAGTCCCCTACCTGGGCTGCCGCTGATGGGACCGGAGGCAGAGGGGGGCGGGGTGCGTCAGAGAGGAGCAGCTTGGGTTCAAGTCCCAGCTCCACCAGCGCCCCCATCTCGAGCTTCCTCATTTGTCAAGGGTGGGTAATAATGAGGATAGAATTAGATCCTCCTAAAATCCCCTACCAGGAGCTCAGTGAGTGCCTGCTCT